TCGCGCATTTCGAAAACCCCCAACAAATACCGTAGTATGGAGAGCCCCGTCGTCGTACTATAAAATTAAATACAGATCCTTACGTACTTAAGAATGTTTACTGTAAAAGTATTTTTTTTAAACTCGAGAAAAGTATCTCTGTAATTAATTATCGGACTTTTCGTATAGACTACCTCATTAGTAGATAGACGACAATCGTATACGTTAGTCAAAACGTCGATATAATTATTAGTACGAGTCAATTGACGAATCGTTTGACGGGCCAAATTTTCTCCGTTCTTTCCCGCATGTTTGGTCGTCGTTCTATTTGCAACGCGCTATAACCCGGCCATTATAAATAAGAGTCCGAGATTCCATAAAGACCGGAATATCTATGTTATTCGAAGAAAGGCCGTTAATTATATCCAACGTTTCAATCGTTTTTAATTTATTAAGGATCTTTTATAATAATAATGTTTATTGACGCAAAATATAGTCGAGTCTCTTCGCCCGGATGCCGACGCGCGGTTTTGCCAGTAACGGGGAGCAAAAAGTAAAACCAAGAAATTGCCGCATCTTCCAACTTTAATGGCGTGGGATTGTCCGAGCATGGAAACTCGTCAAACCGGCCGGCAAAATCCGAAAATGTCGACATTTTTAAGTTTTTCCGAAGATTGGGTGCGGAGTAACGTATTTCTTCCGTCGGGTAGCCCCGATTTCGTTGTCTAAGGTTCCTAATTACTGTTTTTATTCCTTACTATTACGGTAAACGCATTTATCTGCGGGAATAAACTTGGTATTAGGCTAATCAATTCTTTATACTTTTCGCGTTCCCGAACCTTTTAATTAATGCAAAAACCCTATTAAAATGTAAATAGCTTCGAAGACTTACGGAAAGTAAATCGACGATAGATAATACAATTACCGGCAAAGGGCGTTTTTGTTGCCGGCATCGTTTACGGAAGAGTCGAATTTAAAACGTCGACTTTAGTCCCCCGGACTTCGAGTCTCGTCTTTCCGACGCTCCGACCTACAAATATGGTAAAAGTTGGTGCGGTTTCGGTGGAATCTGGCCTCCCGCTCTTCCCGAAGATGTTTTACCACCTTGCCTAGCAAAAAAGGAAAGCCTTTTCTACCTCGAGACGATAAATCGTCGGGCAAAGCCGGATCACTTATCGTTTAAATTTACCCGAAGTCCGAATCCGAAACGTTATCTTTCCGGACGAACTTTAGACGGGAACTCGGGTGACGTCGTCTATCCGCTACCCGCCACTTGGGCCTTTTTTTCCGTTAGCGGGCCCTTTATCTCGCGTTTTTCTTTTTTGAACAAACGAAATACGTAGAACGTTTCTTTATTAATAAAAGGCCGTAGTAAAAACTTTACTTTTTAGTAAACGTAACGTTAATTTTGTAGGAGTAGAAACCGCTAAGGGAACTCCAGTTTATCCGGGATCGGGAAAAAATCCCGTTTCCACGGCCAGCCCCCGGCGCCCGGCAACTTATCGGAAACGGCTCGGGCATTTATTAATTTCCGCGTAAAGTAGGCCCGGGCCGTCCGAAAGAAAGGAACCGACAAATAAAACCGGCGGACGAATAGAAAACGAGTTTCGGCAAAAAAAGGACGACGAGCGATCGGGCGAAACGCGCGCGCCGGAAAGCGGAAAGAAGCTTTCGTCCGCGCCGCCACCCACCTCGGATCGTCACCGCGCTATTCCGGAGTCGGAAGAAGGCCCGGCGATTATGACTGGAAAGTGGGAAACGAATTTCCGCTGGTTGGCGCGTCTCGCCATTTCCGGAATTCTTCCGTCCCCTTCTCGTCTTTCTCCGGAATGCTCGTCTCCAGCGGAGCGATTAACTAATTTCGGGAAAGGTCGGAAAGAAGGCGGTGGGAAGACGTTTCTTTTAAAGCCGACAAACAAAGACATTGGGAGTCGGAGGGGGAGTCTGGTGGGGTAACCTCGGCAGTCGATGGAGAGACGGGGGAATGCGGTCTAACCGGACCGCGACCCGCGTCTTCCGGGCCCGTGCCGGAGAGGAGAAAGGGACAGGTCGCGGTCGAGAATCCGGACCCGGCGGATCTACATTAAATTAAAACCCGGGGTGCCACCTTTCCTCGACAAATGTTTAAAAGGCTAGCGCTTAAAGTACGGTAATAACGGAAATAGATTCCGGGAGGCGCGCAACGAAATTTTTCGAAAGAAATGCCTTTGTTTACTTATTCTTCGTTTTGCTAAACGACTGTTCATTATTATAACTCCGACAAACAATGTGCGCGTCATCCACGATACGGATTTTCCTTCTCTTCCTAAAGCCACGTTTTAATTATAAAAAGTGTTCCACGCGAATTCGATAAAATTCTTACCTTAAACCACCGCTGGTTCGTAATTAATATGGATATAGAAGACGCTACGCAATATACAGAAAAAAATTAATTTTAATTAAAAAAAGATTTTTGGGAAATTTTCGTTTTTTCCTTTCTCTTTGGACGGTGTCGGGGTGGGTCCCTGGGCTCCTCTCTCGGTCGACCACCGGCGCCGACTACAGTACGTACGCGGAAGGGAAATAAAAGCTCGGCGTAACGTGTATCCGGCGGAGTTGCGCCGATAACTCTATTTTCCGCCGTTTATAATTTTACTAAGAACGGGGGAAGAGCACGCCCCCGCCGCCTTTGGCTTTATCGTCTGTATGGGTTAAGCGCCGCGTCTGGACGTTTTGTTACGGCCGCTTCCGGTAAATACGAAAAGAAAACGAAACGGTTTCGGATTTTCTAAAGTCGACCGGAAGCGGCGGGATATATCTCGTTTCCGGCTGGCATCCCAGCCAGGAAAGGAATGGCTCCGCCGTCGGGTGTCAAAGAAAAGACTTTATTCGAGTGCTAAAGTAGAAACCGAATACTTCGAACGAAGCCACAACCTCTTTATTTCGCACCCTTTCGAAACGCCAACCGACGGAACGAAGACCGCTGGATAGAGCGGCGGGAAAGTGGGCTTTCGGGTTCGGACCGATTCCTATTCTTACGTAACTTACAGCGGTCCGAGTTACGTAATTACTTAAACCGAGGGCCAGTTCGCATTACGTAATCGAGTCCGATTCTACGCGCCGTTTAAATAGAACCGTGGCCGTCGGAAGGGATTTTACCTTAACGCCGACGACGAGCGCGTTATCGATTTCGGGTCGAATCTTGCTAATCCCCCTTTTCTCTTATTCGTACTCCGTTTACCGAGAATTACGCTCTTCGGTACGACGTAACCTCGGACGGTCGTCTTTCCGCGAAACGCGGGCCGACGGCCGATGGTCCGTGACGTCTCTCCGATCCCTCGCGCGCCATTGGTTATTTTCGGAATTCGCCTCGCCCCTTACAGGCGAACTTCCCCGCGTTTTTTCTTCTTTCCGGAATTAGCGTCTGCCCGTCGCCGAGTTCTTAGCTCCGGGATAAAACCAAGGTTCTTTTACCCTTTACCCGTTCCACGTCGACCCGGCCTTTCGCGCCCGTCGACTTTTGTCGTCAAAAATCGTGGTTAGTTCGGTAATCTAAACCATTAACGAGGAACTACCGCCGTGACTCGCCGGTGCGTCACAAAGGTGGTTTCGAACACTCCCAGAATGACGATACCACCGCTAGAAACGTCCGTTTCCGAAACGGGACGTTTCGGACCAGTCGAGAGGTCCCGTCAGAGTTTGTTAAAGTCCTTTCTTACATTCTACTCCAGGTTCGAGTCCTGGCCTTCCGACCTGCGGGTAACGTTCTTCTCCGGGCTTCTCTCTTCACCCGTAAAAAATTACGCCCAAGTTTAACGAAATCGGAGACTCGGCCACGGTAACCCGCAGTCGATTTATCGTAGGTCGGTCCGGCGCGTCGCGCCGCGACTCCCAATAGCCGCCAACGTTTCCGGCGGATTGGCGGTTTCCGTACCCGTCTCTTCCGTTTCGGGTCTCGGGCGCCCGAATTAAACGAAAAAACGGAATTTGGCTGGATTCCGTCTCCAGCGAAGTTTCCAGTGGAGAGTTTCGTTTCGACCGGCCTCTGCCTGCAAATTCTTATGTCGCGTCGTTCGAGATCGACGCCGCGACCCGTAAGTCGACTATTAATTTATTTACGTTTAACGCGGACGTCGACTCGAATATCCAAGCACTTCACGGCGGGTCGAGGTCGAAGGTCGAATCCACCATTGCAAATTTCGGAAAGACTTGATGGGTGGCGACGACCCGAGTCTTTCGACGTCTTCGAGAGAAAATCGATTTTATTCCAATTTGTAGAAATTGACAGAAGGATAGAGTGTGTCCCCGTTTCCTTCCCCTTGACGTTTATTTCGAATTCGTATACCGCGGTGCTCGAGTCACGTCATTTATTTAATCCGGACGCGTGGCCGTGGAAAGACCTTTTGCGTCGGCGTCTTGGGCCCGCCTTCGCCTTCTTCTCTCGATGCGTCGCGTTTGGTCGCGACGGGGTCCCGATTCTTTCCATCTCGGGCGGAAACGAGATCTCGTTCGGAATTTCGTCGCCCGCTTTCCGATCCGAATAACGCGGAGATCGACGTCGTTCTTCCAGTAACCTGTACTTTGTTCCCACCGGAACGAAGCGTCGTCGCTTCGCTCCTCCTCGTTTTCCCGGAACGAGACGGTTCTTTCGGGGCCCGAAGTCCCCGCTGCCCGACATTCTTCTCTCGGGTCGAATCCGTCGGGGGAAGCGCGCCAGCGGGCGACGAAGGACGAAAGGTCGACGGATCGGAAGAATTTACTGGAAAGTCGACGGCGCATGCGTCGTAGCTCTTCCCGTTGATAACGGCGGATTCCGGGACCGGGTCTCCGCCCACTCGTCTTTCGGGAATCGCGCCCGGACTCCTCCGTCGGCCGCGGGCGACGGAGAAACGACGTTCCGGGGCCCGGCTTTCGCACGCCGGGCCCTTCCCCAGAACGTGAGTTCCTCCTTCCACCGGGCTTCGGACGGACGGCGGCCTCCCCTCCGACGAAAGAATCGTCCGGAACCCCCCGGCGCAGATGGAACGTTCCGACGGAAGAAGCGCCCGATAAAAAGGCGCGAGCCGGGCGGCGCGACAGAAGCAGCCACGCTATCTTCCGTCGAGATGCTGCGCGTGGTGGTGTTGACGCTTTTGAGCGCGTCGTGGGTGTCGACTCTCGATCCTTTCGGTCTGGAAGAAAGACGATTAGAACGCCTTTTCCGGTGAGTCTTTTCTAGACCCGCTCCCCGTCCTTCGGCCGGCGAGTGCGGTCGTATCGGAACAGAAGGGCGATACGCCTTTCTGTTCCGAAGGACGTCGCCTCTCGACCGCGGCCGCGGGTCTCGACTTCGCGCTCCCGTCTCTGAGACGGACGACCTCCGACCCGGTTCGGCTACTTCTTCGGGAGGAGACTCGATCTTTAACGGCCGTTGCATTTTTCAGAGAGGAAGAAGAGAATTTGTCCCCTCGACCCTGGAACGCGGCCGAAAGGGAAGTGGAAGAAGACGTTCCCTTCGACCCTTCGGTGGTCATCGTGGACAAAGGATCCTCGTCTCGACCCGAACCCGTTCCCGACGACCGTCGAAATCCTCTGGACGATTTTCTGCGGGGATTCCTTCCGGAAGTGACGTCGCCTTGGTGGAAAGGGTAAGAACTCTTTTTTCGGTTTCGTTCGGCCCGGCCGGTAAGCCTTTATCTCGACGGTGTCCGACGGGGTGCCCGAAGCGTTTCGTATTCCGCGCCCGGTCCGGCAACGGTGGCGCCGCCGGAGGAGATATCCGCGCCGGCGTCGGGGAGCGAATCCGCGCGCGACCCTCCGCGCGGACGAAGAAAGAAAGTCGTTGGTCGGGGGACGTCGGATTCCGCCGACGACGACGTCGGCATCGATCGCGGCCGCACCGCGCCGAATTCCGCCGACGGAGAAGAGTAGGGTCGATCGCGTGCTTTGGGCCGGTCGACCGTAGCTTGGGGAGACGTTCCGGCGGACGGAGGTTAGTAAACGATTCGGAGGGGTCGACGAGGTTTCTTACGAAGATCCACGTAGTTAGATCGCGACGGCGGCGGCGAGAGGACGAAGAGGAGAGGGAGTCGGTCTTTCTTTCTCGATTCTCTTTCCTGTCGAGAAGAGTCTCCCGAACGCTCTTTGGTCCGAGATGTCGGAAGGTGGTTGGGTGGACGAAAACCGTTTCTTTCCGACGGGTTCTTCCGTCCAAGATCGACGGGTGGTCGCCTGAGAATCGGGAAACGATGTCGCGTCCTCTTCCCTCAGTCCTCCGCCCTTAAAGGGATGTGACGAATCCACATCACGCGGTGGCCGAGTGTTCGTTCGTCTACTTCTACCTTCTGTCGAGCGACGTCCGACCTTTCCGCTCATTTAATCTCTCGGTATCGATTTTATTGTTTCGCAGGCCCAACGTATGCGTGGACAGGAAGGAGATCGACGACGGAGCGCCCAAGAACAGGAGTTTCGCCTTCAATTTCCAATCGACATCGTGCAAGGAGACCGACACTTCTTACACCTGCACCAAAAAGTTAGTCAATCTCCATCGTTCTTTTTCTTTTCTCTATTTAAATGTAAACGACGTTAAAGGGGGTCCGAGTTTAAATTTACTACCAATCGCTACGCGTTTTTAACAAAGTTTCGTTGGACATAGTTACGCCGTGGATTGTAACAACGCTTGTAAATTACTAAGACGGAAATAAACTCGACGATTAAATTACTTTTTCTATATTTAGCATTTTTATTAATATGTCCATTACCAAGGGAGTCCGGGCTCCTCCTCGGTGGCCTTTCCTAACCGCGCGGAGTTACAACGGCGGCGGAAGCGGAAGTCGACCGTCCGAGCGCGATTGGAAAGGATTCGTTCGAAGGTCGACGTCGACGATATCGCGAGAACGGAGGCTTTAGGAAAAGTGGGAAATTGGAGAGGACGGACGGTTAAAGTTTTGTTTTTTCTGTGGTCAGGATAGAAACTAACGAGGAGAGCAAGACGTTCGTGGTGAAGAGACAATGTTGCTACGGTTACAGACGAAGAGGATCCGAATGCGTAGAGTGTGAGTATTTGAATTCCGAGCGCCGGATAATAGGGAGAGAACGATGGTCGATTATTTTTTTCTCGCCCAGTCGAGCTGAAGGAACTGGCGGAGGTGATGAAGGATTTGGGGGCGAGTCGCTTCGTCAAGATGCTGTCCTCCGTCGATCTCCTAGAAAAATTGCGGGAAGGCAACTTCACCGTCTTCTGTCCCGTCGACGACGCCGTCACCGACTTCGAAGAGGAAGACGAAGACGTAAGACATTTTCTTTTAATTCTCCCTCCTTTTGTTTCTCGCTTCGGAAGACGTTGCGTTTTGACGTCGTCGGGAAATTTGGTTCCACCTAGCCGATTTCTAAATTAATCGCTTCCGACATTTCTCTTTCCGGAACTCGACCCATCGCGCGTTAATCTATTGTCCGTTTGTGTTTTTGGCCAGATTTAAAAACGAAAATACGCTTTCTGCAAAATAAAGATTTTACGCTTTTAGATTTGCTTGGGATAGAAATCCGTTTATCCTCTTTCTCGTAGTACTTAGGATTTAACAGAGCGGACGAACGTTACGAACCTACAGTTCTGTGCCGCTAACATTCGAGAAAATTTAACGATTCGCCGTACCAAATGTCACTTTTTGAAGTCATTTTTCTCTCCTCGGGATGGGCGGGACAAAGATTGGAAACACGCATTCAAATAGTGGAAGAGACGCTCTTTGCAACGGTGACAAAAGAAAAAACATTCGAGCCGACCCGAGTTTGGAGATATTGGTATTGTTCGAAATTGGTACAAATCAGCCGCCAGGCATATTTACTTAAGTGTAAGATGGCGAGACTTCTTACTTTAGACCCATGCCAGTACCACACTCTACGAGAGTTGTTTTTCGATTATATTTTCCAAATAATCAAATAACTTTGCCCACGGGCTAACATTTATACTAGATTATTTTTTTACTTCAATCTCGTTATGTTATTTGTATAAACCGGATTTTTGAATGGAGGCTCAAAATGGTCGTTGCACCGACAGCTCTCCATTTTCTCGGGGCTCCGATGACATCCACGTGGATAATTATTATGCAAACCAACAGAGGATAGGTAGTCTTACTTTAAGAGTTACGGGCTGCTAAAGTATGAATCGCAATGAACGAGGACAACTTTTCCTCGTAAATTCTGCCAATGCGTCGCGTAAGTCTCCAAATATAAAAACTTTTGCCGGCTTCGATGTCGCGCAATAGAAGGACAAAGTCGACTTTTGGCGTGAGGCGCCAGTGGCGAAGAGCGAAGTATCTCCACGTCTATATCTCGGAAACTACAAAACCTTCTGATCTAATATTTTGCGGATCTTAGTTTAAGACCGTAAGCTTTCTCGCCGTGGAGTTTGAACAAAATCGGAGGGGTCGAGCGGATGGTTTGCGCAGTTGGCACGGTATAATAACGTAAACGCGAACAATTCTTGGTAATAATTGATCGTTATCTTTGAAATTTATTCCGAATGCGGCTCTCGCACAGTTCCGATTTAGCTTGCAATTTTTTTTTTTTATTTTCGACGAAGGGATCGAACGAGTGTTTTCCAAATCTCCGAGGAAGACGAGCGGTTCGATAGTTATCCGGATTTTCTCTGTCGTCGATAAACGTTTCGTCCTGGGAACTGGAATTCTCCGAAATTTATCGTTTCTACGAATCGACATTAAATCGGTTCTGGGATTAGGCCTATAAAAACGAAGCGATCGGCGCCTAAGGTGCCGATGGGGATTTTAAAAACGGACGGGGTTCGAGTAACGGTTTGTTTTCCGATAGAGATTAAATACCGCGGCGGTCGATCTCCGTTCGGCCCAACCTTTACACGTATCGGCCGATTTCATCACGGACGGCGCGACAGTGGGAGCCGGCCCACCCTAAAGCCCGCTCGCACACCCCGAAATAATTTATTACGTTCTACCTGTACCGACCATTATTGCGGCATTTTCTTGAAATGCCAATCGATCGCCGGCCGCCTCCTCACCCCGCCTTCGGTCTCGGTTCGAATCGTCCCAAACAAAACATTTTTTACTTAATCTGTTTCGAAAAATTCCCCGAAAACTTTGTCCTAACGAAAGATTTGGACTTTTTCTTTTAAAGAACAACATTCCCAGCAGTCGAGTGGTTCGTAGCACCGACACCGCCACGGTGGTGGCCGGACACGTGGTCGAAGGGTACGTGACGTCGGACGACTTCCGGGGCAACAGAGTTCTACCGACTCTCAACGAAAAAACGGGAATTCGCCTCAACGCCTACTCGGGATTGGCCCGAAGACCGGTAAGATTTCGCTTTTTACGGGTATCTGCAGGATCGGATCCTAAAGGAACTCTTGGGGCTTTCAGTTCGTCTTGCCCAACTGTGCCAAGATCTTGGGCGCTAACAATTACGCCACCAACGGCGTGGTCCATCTGGTGGACAGAATTCTTCCCGCACCCACCGACTCGGTATTGGACATCGTGGCCAAGAACAGTCAACTCACCGTCATGAAAGGACGTGAGTATTAAAATAAGAGCGAAAGTTTTTCACTAAAACCCAATTCGAAAATTTTGAATCTGGGGGACGGAAACCCGCCCGACGAAGAAAATTACTTGTCCTGGTGGCACGGGACTTTATCGCCGCCATCTTCGGAAGACGGGCCGGGTCCGTATAATTTTTAGTGCCCGGACGCCCAGCTTAACAATAAGCGATTTGCCCAGTGGCAGCCCGCCAAACAACGTACGACTATTGCCGGTGCCCCGTTTCTATTTTGCTTTCCCCCCTTGCCTCGATTTTAAACAAAGTATTTTTACCGATGGGCTTTCGAAGTAGTTGTTACGTAACGCGCGCGTTCTACCAGGGAATTGGTAAACCCAACGATAATCTTTTCGAATCAGGATATGGAATAATTATTTCATTCTAAACAAGTTATTAAGTGATTTATAACGGCGTTAGTCATCTAATTATTGGGCAAAATTATTAGATAACCGCTGGTAATTAATTACGTTCCCGTTTTCCTTATCCGATGCCCTCTCGGTCGGAAAAAATCAAACGCGGATTTTTACCGGCCAAAAAGTGGCCGAATCTCGTCGGTAAGTTTCTTCGTGTCCCAAGGGGTGGTAATACCGATCCTACTCCGTACGAAAGCGGACGAAATCCAAATTTAATATAGCTTTTAAAAATTACTTTGTCCTCGACGACCTTTCGTCCGGTTCCCTTTTCTCGTTTTCTTCTTTTTCTCCGGACAAAAGTTGCCACTGAGAAACGAATCGATTTCAGTACTGAGTCAGGCCGGAATGGTGGAGAAGCTGAGTAATCCGGAGGAAACCTACACCATATTCGCTCCGGTGGATTCGGCCTTTAAACGGATGGGCAGCGAACTGTTGAAGAAGATGCAGAAGGGAGAAGGATGCGTGACCAGTAAGTCCGGCTTACCCTTTCTCGCTCGGCCTCCGACTTCCGCTACTGACTCCCTTAATTTAATATCGGCAGGCGTGGTCGAGAGTCACATCTCTCCTCACGTGGTGTGTTCGTCGGCCGTGGTCAACGTGGGATACGTCTCGAATTTGCTGAACGGCGAACTGAAGTTGACTCGCGACGAAAACGACAAGCTGTTCGTGGACGACGTCCAGATCGTGGCTCACGACATGGTGGGAACCAACGGGGTGGTCCACATCGTCGAAGAGGTTTTGATTCCCGACTCGGGTAAGTGGAAGGACGTTTTCCCGTGACTGCCGTCGTCCGCGCCTAACCTTCCGTTTTAATCGCAGCCAGAACTCTGACCGAAACTCTGCAGAGGGCCGACAGATCGGATTTGGTAGATTTGATCGAGGTGGCCGGAATTCGGGAGGAACTGGACACCCTCAGAAACTTTACCTTCTTCGCGCCCAGCAGGAATTCTCTTAAGGTAAGTCCGCCTTTTAATTTTTCCGGAAGGGTGGAAAAATTAAAAGTGCCATTACGCGGCCGTAACGTCGCCGATCTTTCCAGAAACTGCTGACCGAAGAATCGGAGGAATTTAGAAATAACTCGGAGAAGAGTAAAGAGCTGATTACGTCGCACGTGGCATCGACTACGGTCAAATCTTGCGACTTCCGCAACGATCTGATCTTGCCTTCTTTGTGGGAAGACGCCACTTTCCGCGTAAACAGATTCGACGTGGTAAGTCGATAGAACTACGTCTCTCTTCCAACGAACTCTTAGCTCGGTACCCATCGTTTCTCTCTATTCAGATTCCGGGTTTCGTTCATCACTTCACGCTTCAGTGCGTCCCCATATTGAACATTAATCTGGGAGTTTGCGAGGGAGCCATCCACGTCCTCTACCAGGTAACGCTCCGTCCTCTAACCGGAATCGACTAAAAACTTACGTAGGCCTACCGTAACTTTTCTAAACACGTCTTTTTTTTTCAGACCGTTTCGCCGTCCAAAAGCAAAATCGTAGAAACTCTGGAAGGCAGGAAAGATCTGAGCACCTTCGTCCGTCTATTGAAGGAGAGCGGTTTGGCCCAAACCTTGGAGGAAGACGGCCCTTTTACGGTTCTGGCTCCCGACAACGACGCTTTCGACAATACGAAAGACAAAGACGTCTTAGAAGACAAAGATAAACTTCTAGACTTGTTAAAATTGCACATTCTTCCGGGTTGGTACGAGTGCTTTTGCCGGGAACGGCTTCGTTCCTTCACCCCGCGCGGCTAACGAGGTTTTCTTTCTCCGCAGAGACGCTGTGTTGCTCGGGAATCAGGAGCAGCGCCGGACTGAGCATCAGAAGATTGGTGACCACCCTAAACGGTTCGGAAATACCCGTCAGACGCAGTTACAAAGGAGTGAAGTTCTCGTCGTCCAAGGTGGTCGGGTGCGACTTGATGGCCAAGAACGGCGTGATTCACGTGGTGAACAAAGTGGTTCATCCTTCCAGATCTCACGCTCTCGACTTTTCCGAATTGGTCCGCGAGATGTTCAGCATCTAACGGGTGACGACTTGTAGCCGGTATCTGCTGGCAGAAACCACGCAATTCAAGTAATCGTGCCGATGCGTTATCGTTGTTCTTCCGCCTTCTTTGTATCCGAAGGTTAAGATGTAGCGTCAATTTATAATATCGACTTGGACGTAAATTCGTTTTTTATTAATAAATGTGGAAAAGCACTCGCTTTCCCACCAGTCTTATTTTAATTTACGTTTTCTTTACGCCACGCTCCGACCCGATTAATTAAGATAATGGCCGAAGACGAGAAATAAAATAAAGGTTAAGACGAAGACGCGAAAGGTGGCGCGATTTTAAAGGGACAAAAATGCCAACGAGTGGGAAAAATTTTAATTAATCTTTACTTCGCGACCGGGTGCGTAGGTAGACACTAACATCACTCTTTACTCCGAAATATCTTACACACCGATACGCGTTTGGGGCACGCGCCCCTTTTCCGTAGGCTTTTTCTTCAAGACATTTAGTAAAGGTGCGATATTACCGAATAAAGAGTGGTGCTAAAGATGCCCGGTGTCTACCTAGCACCCAGTTGTGAAGTAAAGGGAGAGTCTTAGGCGCATAAACGCTATATTATTCCACGCGAGACCCGAATAATTCCTTCCCGCTTTGGCCACTCCAGATATCGTCGACGACGTCATCTAAATTTTCAAAAACAATGTAAATTTGGGAAATTTGTTTTCTGTCGTTAAAATTAATTAAGGTCGAATTTCGCTCGCCAGGAATGGCGGCTAAAAATACGCATTTTTCATTCGACCCTCAGTTTCGCGTCGCCGTTCGTTTTTGGCAAAAAGATTTCCGGAGAAAATTTACGAAACGGAAACTTCGACGACGGATTTTTCGCCTCTTTTCCCTCCTCGAGGTAGGAGTCGGCCTTAATTGTATCCCCTAACGTTCCACGCGTTTACCGCATCGAATGGGTTCTCAGAAAGAAGAAATTAAATTATTTGATAAATGTACGGCATTCCACCACCGCCGGCGTCGTAAGATCGAGTAAAGTAAAATAATAGACCGACCGGTCTATTTAAAAACGAAACATCGTAATCGTCGTTACGTCGTTTCCCCTTTCTTCTTCTAGTCGCGCTTACGTCCGGGAGGAGTGAAAAAAAGCCGCGCCGTGCTCCCTCCTTTGTATTTATTTCGTTCTTGTATACTTCTAGTAAGCTACGGAATAAGAATAATTTTTCTAAAACTCGTGAAAACACCAAACGCAACCCGACAAAAGTAACGATTCTTTTCTCGCGGAAAAACAGAAGAAACAATTTCTTTCGTTTTACGTCATTTAGCGTTTACTCGAGGCGAAATTGCGGAAGATTAAGATTAGAATAAATAGAATTAGCGTTTAGCATTTTACGAGAAATTTTCGCCGTGTGAATAGTTTACAATACCGAAAATGTTCTCGCTCTTCCCGGCGTCATTCCAAAAGTCTATAAAATTTAAAGTCGTCTTCGTTTTTAATCCGAGGCCTGGACATTTTTACTTTTAACGTTTTGTATATAAAAATACGAAAGTTTTTACTCTGGCGACATTAAAGTAACTTTATCGTCGTAGACTTTAAATCGTAATACGTAACAATAGTGTATTTAAATGCAACGTTTTTTAAAGTCGGATTCGAGTTAACGAGAATGGCCGGGACACTCGCGCCTCTGTTTTCCAGTACGACTTCAGACCGTGCGTGACGACGAAACGATTTTTTTTACTTCCCGTTTCGTCACGGCCGCCAACTCGCCGTTAGAGACGGGATGCGATTCTCGCCACTTAATTATATTTATACGCGTAGTAACAGAACCTACGCCCCGTTTGCGTAACGCTTTTATTAGGGATTTTAAGCGAAAATTGTTATTCGTTACGAACGAGAAACCTTTTGAATATTCAAAGGCGCGTATTAGAGAATAAATAGGAAATATTTAAACGTTTATCGGTGTTTACAGTTAAATTTAGTATCTTTCGACGTCTACCAAACGACTGGCTGGGGAATTCTCGTTTCTTTTATCGAAGTAGGCTCGTACGGTAGCCCCTCGTTATATCGCGCGTGTCGGGAGACAAACCCAACCAGCGATATATCGGATGGCGCGGCGTAACCGACGTATCCTGTATCCATCCATCCGCTTTGTCTATTTTCCATCTCCGCGCCGACTGGCTTTTTTGTGCATCGTATTTCGTACGGCGATAGTTTCCGCGCCGACCGTTGGATAAAGCGCTTCTACTTTCGGAAGACAAAAAAGCGCGATATATCCGAATAAGCCGTATAACCGCCGACTACCGAATCGGCAATACCGTATAAAAACCCGGAATAATCGTTCGTTTGTACTTAACGAGAAAAATAATGATTTTTTTACGTCTAAATTATGTCATTCCGTAGATAAAGAATTATTTAATTAAGGGTTACAATTACAGGGTCTGAAGATCGGCCGGGAAGCCGAGTCTTTCGATGCGCGAAGATTGTGAAATTACAGTACTGTACTTCTCTATGTGTAGTTTTACATAAAATTCGCGTGGTCAGATTTCGATGAAATTTCTACGTATTTTATTTCTCGCTAGTCCGTTCTTGCCAACGGATCGAGGAACAAAATAACTAATATGGCGCATTCCGAACGCAAATGGCGGATTTCCTAATTGAAATAATTCTCTACGCCAACGATATCGATCGAAGGAATTCGAAGAAATTAAAACTCTAAATAAATTCTAGTGTACGCGGGGGTTTCGTTTCGACAAACCGAAATTTCCGCTTTCGTTTACGTAATGTTATCTAAATATAATTATAAATTACGTAAAGAGTTTGTTTACAACCAGTCAATAGGGATAATAGCGAATGTGATATGTTTATCGCGGTTTATATTTAGTTATTTATACAAATAGTAAATGTTATATTTGAGGAACTAGGTAGACAAACACTGTTACTACGTTGCAGTGGCGCCGGCAACGTCTAAAGTTGAAATAATTTGCGCGGTTTCGTCTGGGTTCTAAGAAATGTCGGGAGGCAAGAAATCCGACGTCGTTGTTTCCGTTAGCGGATTTTCGGGTTTCTTTTCTAGACGTAAGGTTTAAGATTATCGATAAATGGGATTAAATGTTTCTGCGCTAATATTAATATACGGGAAAATAATCCAACACCACGCTTTAAATACGTAATTTGTGACGTTGGTAACACATAATTTTCCGTGGGTTTTTAAAAATTCGACAATAGTTTCCCTTTGCCGACAAGCTATTTATGTATAGGAACGTATTTCCGCTCTTCGAATAAATAATCGAACGTATTAATATAAAGCCGGAGAAGTCGTTTAGACAAAGGATCGAATAGTAGGGAGGAAAAACAGTTTTGCGTTTTTACATAATACGTTTTCACGAAAAACTACTTTGGTATTAAACGTTTACCCGTCGGTAAAATGGCCGAATCGGCGTACGACGGCATTTATCGATAATTCGGAATGCGTATTTTTGCCGATCACGCGACTTTACGGTAAGGAAAGGCGTCGTGTTTGGAGGATACCACCGTCTGGCGGTGGAAATTGCGGATTAGCGGAATGCGAAGACGGTAAAAATTCGCGCCCGTTAAAATTTACATATTAATTTTGTTGGCTTATTCTAGCGGGTATTTTAGCCGGACCGAGATTCGGCAGAATAATAAAATCAATCTAACGGTAATATCAAATTCTCGAATATTAATAATTACAAAATCTCGTTATCGATTACTAAGCGGAATTGCGGGTCAAATGCTTACTAACTAAACAAACGTGAAGACTAAAATATAAACTTAATTATAATTATGGAAAAAAATAATAAAGAGAGAGAGGGAAGACAATTTCTACAATCACAACTACGGTAATTTTATGAAATAATGATGTAGGTATATATAAAGGATAATGATTTTAATCGTTCGTATTTCATTTCTTATCGCGCAATAAACCGGTATGCGTTAATTAATACAAAGATATTTTTTTCAATTATTCAAATATTTAAAATTTTTGAGTTAGTCGTCCTTTGGGTGCTTCTGGATCCGTCTCCGCGGCGCCACATCGGAAGTATTCGTAGTATTGGAATATACTTTTTATCGACGTAATGTTGGAGGTTTCTAATATTTACTACTTCCAGATTCGTTCATTTTTGTGGCGCTACTTTCTTCCCTAATATGGAATTTACCACAAATAAAACTTAGAAAACCCTCTCGTAATTGGGTAATTGGACGGTGTTACGTCGAAAGTTTTCTTATTACCGGTTTACGTATCAGTGGGAGTATCGTCGATTTAAGGAAAGGAGATTCGCGCTATCGTCCTGGCATTTGCGCCTAGCAAAACGCTTAATTTTCAAGATAATATACAAATAATAAAACGAACCATTAATTTATTTTGATGTAAATATTTTTAATTACGTTTAGTAATCGGAGAGGTGAAATATCCAGAATACCGACGACGACAATAACAAACATTAGCCAAATAATTTTAATGCCTCTCGATTTGCGCCGTAATTCTGTACGCTGCAGAACGAAATTATTGTCGAACGAATTATCTCCGACCCGAAATATTGTCTAATTCTAATTTGTGAAATAAATATAAACGACGTAATAAATTCGATGTGCTTATAAAGACTAGGAATTATCGTGGACCGAATCTTTTCTGTCTAGTTATAGAAAGGAAAGGAACAAACGTTGATTTCAAATTTTAATTAACATTGTTGTTGTTATTATCCGATTATATTTTTATCGTGTGAAACTGTAATCGTTTGTAACGATTCAAAAGTTCTAAATAATTAAAATACTGTCGACCCCCTAAAACACGGGTTCCTATAGTTCGGTTTCCTATATCACGGCGAAAAAATTGCGACCGTATTCGTACAAACACGCTAAAAAAACTCGTATAATTCGGTAAAACGTCATCGCCGACTCGTGTCGCAACAGGATTGGTCGAATCTAGACCAATAGCGGATATTGTACAAACCGTCGAGTTTATACGAGCGGCGGACCTACTAAAAACCATTTATTATTTAACGGCCATAAAAATTATATTTATATTAATGATGTCTCCAAAGTTCAGCAAAGTTCAAGATTAATGGTAACACTCTCTGATTCTTCGAGAAAACGAACGATCGTAAGAAAAGAGGAATTCCATTTTGTGTCACAATGCCAAATCAATTTTAAAACTTTTCTATTTCTGGCTTGCAACTTTTTCGTTTCAATAGAGAGGTTGCGGCCGACGTTTTCAACGCAAAAACGTGTACGTCGGACGTTCAGCGCCGCTTTCCTGTAAGTCTAGAAGTTTGAAAATGGCGTTTGGAACGTCGAGCATGATTCCACTGACGTTCCAAACGCCATTGTCAAACGTCTAGGCTTACAGGAAAGCGGCGCTGAACGTCCGACGTACACGTTTTCGCGTTGAAAACGTCGGCCGCAACCTCTCTAATAATAGAGACGACGACAGTTGTCTCTATCGTTAAAACGTTTTCGCTGACTTGTGAATGCAAGTAACGTGAGATTGTGAAACGCGATGCCTTTAAAAGTCGTCCGTATACACTTTATAAATGCCATCTGTAGTTGGGTATGTTTTTACTATATACTGTACTTTGGACATTTGGAGCAAATATTGTACGTGTTTTATTTAACTTTTTCTATCCTGTGGGAATTAAGAGGGTCTCTTTTAGAAAGCCTTTTGTGGGTTTGACAACGGGGCATCCGGGTGGCGAGGGACAGGGCCCGACATATTCGGACGGACCCAACGGGGTCGAAAAATCCCCGGGGATTTTTCGGTCCCCCAGAGCGGTAGGCTGCCATCTTGACCGTTCGCCATCCCGCCGTCAAAATTGTACCGTTTCTTTTCGCCCTTTTCGTCAAATATGAAATACTGCTGGATGTCTGATTACAAATTTTGTTTTCTGTTTGCGATATTGAATGACAACGAGCCACGCACCTTCATTGCCGCCATCTTAAAAAGCATCGAAAAGACGATGGATCGATGTATTGACTAACAATCGATACGCCCAGGGAGGCAAATTGCTAAGGGCGGAAAAATTGGCCGAAACAAATAACGTACGACTGAGACGCGGTATAGCGTCGACTCGATACGTGGTTTACCCGCGAGAAACGAGCGGCAGTCGACACTTCCCTATTGGCTGGTGTCAGTGTTCGGAAGCGAAACGACATTGCTCAAAATACTGCATGGCTTTTTGGTAGCAGCAGTGATCATAAACGTCCTGCCGCGATTCAAGGTATATTATATGGTGCATACATTGTGTTGACATGAACATACTATGCCAATAAAAATCTACTAAGGTGACCTTATTGGTATGGTGCATAGGTCTAGTACAGTGATGGGCAAACTACGGCCCGCGGGCCAGATGCGGCCCCCTGAAATGTTCTATCCGGCCCGCGCGACATTATTCCTAATCTGACGAGTAAAAAAGAATACAGGCTGGGGTGGTTGAAGCACCACTTAACTTGAGTGTTCGTTGATTATATAAAATAACCGAAGCTTTATATCTCACCATGAAAGTTTATTTACAATCATGTACAAAATTTTGTTTTACACTTAGCCGAAAGAGAGAAAAAGAAATATGGCGGACGGCCTGCACATGTTTTTATAGCGCCACCTGGATTTTCAGATGCAGCGCTAGGTTACAATTATATTGGCCCGCCTAAAGTTTTCTTCTTTTCCTTTGGCCCGCTCTTTAAAAAGTTTGCCCATCACTGGTCTAGTAGATAGTGGATGCGGTATTAAGTCCGAGAGACTTGCTGGTACGCTTACGCAGGTACAGCAAGGGACGGTGGCGGGACCTCTGGGACTGGATGCTCAAAATACTACGTTTTCGCGTCTAGACACCGGTTTTTAAACCGGTGTGTCACGAGAGGATCGTCGATCAACTTGTAAATTTTCATTCATAAAACCACATAATGGACCCGTAAACGAAACTATCCGAGCATGGTGGACACCACGTTGATTTTCACCGTAAATTACTGCTAAGGAATAACAGAATGCATCTTTAGTGTACATTCTCACGACGTACCCTAAGTGTGTACCAAATTTCAACTTTCAACTTCTAACCGTTTGGGCTCTGCGTTTTTTATTATTACTATTGTTATTATCAACCCATCTCGATTATATTATAAGATTCACTTTAATATATATGTTACTATATATATATATTGAAGTAAATCTTATAAATATGGATAAATTTTCCATATTTTCGTACTCAATAAAATAAATTTTTGAGTAAAAAATAAACAGCTTTTAACTTTTTTATTCGATTATTTTACTTTTTACATTTTAGCAGACGACGAATCTTGTCAACTTGCAAAGCGACGTCTAACGGCTCGTTCGGTGAAATCGTGATTTGATTCGCGGTTGGGTTGCGACGCGCTGCCGTTTGTAATGTCGAAGGCTTGGCGACGTGTTTTATTCGTATGTGATTCTTGTTTACCAATTCGAGTCGAGGTTTAGACGTCCGACATTTTGATATAACAGATCTCTTTCCTAAATATTCGGATTATCCGTTTGCCAAACTATCTGATGTCGTACGTCTTTTGATATGACAACGCAAGTTAATAATTTCGTGGATACCGTCTTGGTAAGTAAATTAAATATCGACACGTTGTAAGTCGTCCGTATTCGAGTAAATATAAAACGCAAATAAAAATTTCGTTAGATATTCTGCCCAAAAGGTTTCCTTTTGTCTCTTCTGGTTTTATCAAACCTCAATTGTTCACTATAAGAGGAACCTTTTAATCTGTCTTATATATTTAGTGAACCCTTTAATTTTGCCATAGCGTTCCGAGCGGCATCACACTATCTATTAAATACAGTATACGCGAACAAATAATTCGATACATTTGCCACGTGAGCATTTTTAATGCCTTCTTGCAAAGAAGGAAGCCCGATTTTAAATCTCGTTAGGATGCTATTCTCGTTTTTTTAACCTATTTTTACAAATTGTTCGACGCCGTGGGAGCCGTCCGTACGAGAGCTACTACGGTTTGTCTGTTCTATTCTCCCTCCGTGTTCGTACGGAGATCGCGGCCTTAGTACGCGGAGGGAGAAAAATAGAATAGACAAACCGTAGTAGCTCTCGTATGGACGGCTCCCACGGCGTCGAACAATTTGTAAAAATCGGTTAAAAAGATCGAGAATGGCATTTTGACGAGATTTAAAATCGGGCTTCCTTCTTTGTCGCCGACCGAAGACGTATTTAAACCGTAACCTATCGTAAGAGAAAGAGAAAATTTTTGTCTTCATATTCTTCAATAGTTTTACTATGAAAAGAAATTGGCAAGAAAAAAATTAATAAGTGAAGCCAGTGGAAGATTGAAGCAAGCATTACAAAGAAAGAACTTAAATGAAATTCAAATTGCACATGGCATCCTAGGAGAAGCTCAAGTTCTTACTCGCGAAACAAAAAGAGAAGTTGAAGCAAGAACACTCAGAAATGGTTGGAGAAGAGGAAAGGAGTACTCATCACATTTTGTTTTGAAAAAAAAAGAAAAAAAACTGACATGTGCAAATGAAGATTACACTAGTAGAAACAAACATTATTGATCATTTACAAATAATGCAGATAACTAGAAGAAATTACAGTGAAAATGAAATTATTGATCCATTGTAGTTGCATATACCAGTTCCTGTCTATTTTCTTACTGAAAGATTTTGGTCACATTTTACTCACTGTTTCTGCCCAAAAACTCACTTTTCTCACTAGTTTTGACTACAAACCTGTGCTACAAACCCTGGTTTACATCTGTGAAGGAATTCATGTTGACAGATGGTGGATGGAAATATATTTCTTTATTTTGGTGAGGCCAAACAGCCTTTTGATGACACTATCTTTGCTATAAATATTAAATAAATACAGTACTGTAATTTTGTGTGGATAACCCTTGGCAGCGTATAGCTTGCAACAGCATATATCCTAAAGAAAATTGCACGAAAATAAAACCTTTGCGTAATCCACTTCATTATTTACTTTGTATCAGTGGCAGCCATCAAAATCAAGATAATTGTCAGTATGCAGTTTTTAAGTTTCCATCTCAAGCATTAAAATATTGCTTTTTGTTTTATTTTTGTTAACAAATCATTGTAGATACATACATAAACAACCAAATCCAAATATTCTACAGCAGGGCTGCCCAATTCATTTTGGAGGCGAGCAATAATTTCAATTACATGTCAGCCGACTGGCCACCTAGTGAATCATACTTGCTTACACTCATGATTCTTCTATAAATGGATAGGTATTTGAATCAAACAAAGCTTTAAGTTGCACATGTTTTAATAATACCTAATAAAAAAATACATCAATGAGACCTAAGAAGGGGGCTTATTAGCTAATAATTTTTCAATATTTGGTGACAACAATTTAACTTTAATAGACAAAAGTCGACTCAAAACTAATAGAACAAGTGTAAAACTAATAGAACAAGTGTAATAAATGTGTAGGTTAGGTATTAACAGCGGTGTGGCAGTGACTCAAGTCATAGTTCATTCCATGTTCAACCAATCGACTAATCACGTGGTATTATTGGTAGCTCAACATTGCGCATGGTGACAGCCGACCGTTACTGTGGGCAGGCAAATTCAAATGCATTGGCGGGTCACTTTGTAGTCCGTGGGCCTGGGTTTGGGCAGCCTTGTTCTACAGTAACCATATTAATTTCCAGATTATTTAGATTATTATAGTTTAGCTAACTAATAATATAAAATAACTTTTTATAAAGGTAGGTCTAGACTACTGTCTTATATTAATAATAACTAATAATTACACTAATTTTTGAATTAAGTTTAATAATTTTTTTAATAATTATTAAATTTAATTTGGTATAATAATTATTGAAATTGAAACTAAAGTTGATATTATTTTTTGAACTTTGTAATGTAGAAATCTATTTTACTCTATTAATTAAACTAACATTTGCATACAATTTAAAATATTAAATAACTTTCAATCCAGCACACATTAGAATGCTGTATTTGCTGTTTGTGAACTGTTCCAGTTATGTAAATTAAGTGTTTTTACACTTAATTTATCATAATAATACACTTAATAAATAAATATGATTTATCATTTTTATTTTATGGCTAATTTATTTTATCCAATAGTAGTAATGAAATAAATTCAGAAAAAATTAAACAGAAAATCATCTTAGCAATATTAAAATTATTTTTTGTTTAATTTTGTTCAAAATGTTATAACCTTTTAAACACAATTTAATCATGAGTTTTACTTGTTTTAATACTGTAATTTTCAAAAGCATCATCAGTTGTTTTTTGAATTTTGTTACAAGTCAATGGTTTTAATATTGTTTAAACTGTTAATGTTCTACTGTTTCAACACATGATTGTAATTTAAAATTGGCATATATAACCTACTCCACTTCATAACTTGCACCCTTTTCAACTTATATACAGATAATCTCCAGATTGTCTGCATGAAATTATGGTAAATGAATTTGGGGTTTCTGTATGATTGTTAGGGACATATATCTTATGTGCACCGGTTGGTGTTAAAATGAGGGTTGACTGTTTTTCAAGTTCCATAATTTAGATTAGATTAAAATGAAAAAAATTTTTATAAACTTTTTGAAATAAATCATTGTCTATTGTCTTTAAAAAAACTTTAACTACACTCGACCCCCTATAACACGGGTTCCTATAGTTCGGATTCTTATATCATGGTGAAAAAATTGCGACAGTATTTGTACAAACATGCTAAAAAACTCCTATAATTTGGTAAAATGTCATCGCCAACTTGTGTCATGACAGGATTGCATAAACCGTTGAGTTTAAACGAGCAGCGAACCTACTGAAAACCATTTATTATTTAACATCCATAAAAATTATATTTATATTAATGATGTCTCTAAAGTTAAGCAAATTTTTCGCAATAAAAATAATTTATCAGGAAGCATGCGAGCGCCATTCGATGACAATCTCCACGAAGAAAACAAGCTTAAGCAATGGCGTAGTCGAACAGTGCACACTTGGTAAGTAATCCTACAACTTTTTGTTTATAGCATAGTTTATATGGATTATTCCCAAAAAATTATACATATTTTAGAAATGTTGAGTCATATTAGTCTAGAATCGATTAATTTTATGGAAGAAACCTTTCAAACAGCCGTAGTCCGTAAACTGCATATGTGCCGGGCTGTGATTGGCTGGACTCCTAGAAGCTGGATTTATAAAAAGAGGAAAATATCTACCGTGTTATAGGGGGGTCGACTGTACTTTATTTTTTTACATAAAATAAAATTCAGTATTAAAATAGGTTGCAGAAGAACTTGAAGAAACTTTCAATGGTTTCATAATTCATTCTCCAGAACAAGAACAATGGAAATTAAAAACTTATCATGATGACCTGAAAGCACTTTTTACTAATCTACCACAGGTAAATTCTTTTATTTTTTATATATATATATATATTTCTTTGTAAATTATTAGTATATGTAATTATAACTGTTTTAACAGGAGGATTTAGATGCTGCAGTTCGTCATTATATTAATACTACTGCAAGTTTAAGTAGTCAAAAACAGTCACGATTATTATTAAATTTAATTGAACATGTTGTAGTAGCAAATTTAGTACCTCACAAGTAAGTTATCCGTTAATATGTTCGTAAGAAATTTCTTTACAAATTAAGTTTAAAATATTTTGCTTTTTCTATATATCATTTAAAGTTTTAAGAAATATTAGAAAATCAGCTAAATTTATGTTATACAGTAGAGCATCGATTATCCAACTCAATTGGGGACTGGGGTTGGTCGGATAATTGAAAAGTCGGATAACCGAAAAGTATGAAAAAATCCATTATTAGTGTAGTATATTATTATATCCCATGTAATTAGTATATTAGTATATCGCTATTAACCTATTTTGCGTTGAATTTTCATCGATGTTAAGCCTAACAAAAATTTTTTAAAATAATAATCGTCGCTATTGTA